ATAATAACTTTCTTTTGATCGATACGAAAAGGACAATTAAGAAAATAGTGATCATTTTTACCGAGACAGCTCCAATCACCCCATATACCTCGATATGTATGTACCTCTTTGCATACAGGGCATTTAGCTTCTGAATCGGTATATTTAAATACATCTCGATGCCATGCATTAGAATTGGTATATATCAAGAAAGGGAAGCGTTTATGTACTGCTTCATGGATTGTGCTTTTTTCTTCCGGAAACTTAGAAATTTTGATAATACAGTCTCGTGAGATACAATTATCAGCCTCTTCTTCGATTTGGGAGGATTTAGAAGCTCCAAAGTTTATCCAGGGATCGAGTCCAGTTTTATTCTTATACCTTTTATATAACCTAGAACGAATTTTATCTGTTAAAATGCTTGGTAATTCTGTTAATTTAGCCTCCCACTCCAAATACTCGGGAGTCAATGTTTTATGATTCGTAGAGTCGCCCTTAAAGAGCCTGACCTTTAAATGTGTATTCATGTCCTGTTTTATATGATTGCATATCTCTTTAAATTAGAGCGAAGCTCATTGTTTCACAATACAATAACTAACAAAAAATAAATATGCCTCAGAGGGACACCTTAAAGACTTGAGCGAATTGTATTAGTATAAGTTTAAGTTCATGCCGTTACCTCAATTTCAATTCCACGCTGTTTGCATTTAATATAATAGGATGATGCAGAACATCGAATCTCCGATTCTCCAATTTCATATTTACCTTCTATACCATTATCATCGTCATGATCTAATTTGCATAGTGGACATAAAGACTCATCGGTAATTCCATAATAATCATCGTTTCCATCACTACCTTCTTGATATAAGTTAGGATATTTTTCTAGTGTTTTATTACGAAAATATGCATGGCTATGAGCTGGATTGGATGAAAATATAGGTGATGCACTTACCTCAGTTTCATTTTCTGGAGATAAATTAGATGATATACTTACGTCAATGTTTGATATGTCATTTGAGCAAGATGGTTTGGTTGTTTGTGTGTGAAGATTCTTCACGCCGATCACTTTTTGACATTCAGCTTGCTCGTTAACTAATTCTACATTAGGCTTTTCAGAGAAAAGCTTTATTATATTTTGGATTTGAACACCTGTTAAACTAGAAATAGCATCAGCACTATACGTAACTTGTTTGATTTTATCTATTCCTATTTCTTTGAATAATGTATAAATATTTCTAGCCTTTTGAGTTTTCTTACGCAAATACTCTCTCTTAATGCCAGGAAGAAATGGAACCATTTCATTATAAATCTGTGTTCTCGCCATTTGATCGTTAAGTTCGTTTTTAAAGCTAATGTCTGTTACCTTTTTTTCGAATTCCTCACTATAACAATACCAACGTAAAATTTCTTTCTGGCCAGTTTTTTTAGCCTTGTCGAATAAATGGGCCAAACGCGATGCAGAACCTGGGGTTGAATCATCTCCATTTAGCGTGTTTTCAAGAATTTGTCTATCAGGTATGGGATTCGAAAGGCTTTTCTCGTTAATAAATTTAGATAACTCACATATTAAACCTTGTTCAACCTTTTGATTATAGGTAATTTTTATTTCGGAAGAAATAGCACTTTGTTCCTGATTGGATGAAGAGATAATAGACGATTTAGATTCAGAAGAAGAAAGTTTTGTATCTTGAATATTTAGATCTTTATTAAGTAATGATTCTGCTTCGTGTATGGAAGCATTCTTATTCGGTGATATAGAAATCTTAGGGATAGTGTTCTCAGGAGTTGAGAGTAACTCTTGATCCCGAAATTCATTTCCTACCTTCTCTTCCAGTTGCTTTGCGAAGCAAATGATATGGTTTCTGAAGGAGATGTAGAGGTTTCCGAATCCTGGTATATGTCAGAATTAGATGTGTTAGACTCCTCATTACATGAGATTATCTGTTCAGAAGTATCGTTAGAATTTGTTTCATCATCTAACAATATGGTATTAGTATCGATGCACTGGTGCTGTTCCAATTTCGCCACTCTGTTTCTAAGCTCTTCGTTTTCTTTTGCTGATCGTTCTAATTCGAATATTCTGGTATTAAGTTCGGCGTCTCTTAACTTTGTATTTTCAGCATCTTCTTTTATAGATTGTTCTAATTCTACAATTCTAGCCAAGAGCTCGGTATTTTTACTTATAAGTGAATCTTTCTCTCCTCTAAGCTTATCAATCTCGATTACGAGCCTGGAATTCAATTCTCTCAATGAGGAGTCAGAAACTTGAGTTTTCAACTCATCGTCTTTAGATTGCATGTTTAATATCAATCTATATAATTTTTCAAAAAATTTCGGAAGAATATTGTATACGTCTTGAAATATTTTTATTGATTTATGTCTTTAATTTCAAATAAAAAAATCACGTGCGCGTGAAGAATCTTCACGCCGATCATTCTTGGCAAGAAAAATAGTCAAGCCTAAAACGAAAAAAGTTAATTGCAATCTTGAACCGGATTTTGATGGGTCATTTACATTCTAAAATAATAGTATAAAACTATTTAGTCGCATATAAAAATAATTTTCAATGTTATCATAATAAATATTTCTTATCTGAAAATGCGTATTAATCTTCTCTATTTTACGAATAAATAAGAGGTATTTATTGTTGTTGTATAAAAAACGATTAAGCTTATTTTTTGACATCGAATTAGGGCCTGTGCGTCGTATGAGATGTGCCAAAGTTTTCGATTCCACCTATCAAAATAAATCTACAAATAATTATGATTGGCGCAGGTAATAGATCGTCCATAGTAGATAAATTTTTAATGGGATTCAAGAAAACCAGTGATTCACGATCTTTGGAATTATGTGTATCCACAATAGATCGATTAATCTCATCAGAGAAATCTTTAGATATGTATAAAAACGGGATGAATTATTTGTTTGAATTGCTTTTATACCCCATAACATTCGAATAAAAAATTCACTAAATAAACCAATTATAACTGCGTAAAATTAAATCATAGCTGTGCTAGCAAAACTATTAAAATATCATTCTTACATTTGTCAAAATCGAAGGTATGTAAACTACTTGTATCTCGTTATATTATAAATAAACCACCTGGCTGACTGATATTATTTTTAGATGACGCCAACTGAATTTTTCGAATCTCTCTCAAAAATACCATTAGAGAGTTATTTTATTTTAATCCCTATATTTATCCTCATCGTAACATTGATATTTGGAGAAAAGCTATTTATATACCTATTCATTGTCATCATATGCTTCGTTTTCTATATATTCAAACAACAAATCGATATGGAATTCAAATTATTAAAAGAGAAACGAAAAAACGAATCTAATGAAATCTATAATAAAATAGATGATCTTACCGAAAGAATTTCTTTGTTTTATGAAGAGTTCCAACAAAGATTCCAGGAAGAAGATACTTTAACTAATAATAATTCAACCAATTTTTCAAGTACTTCTCGAGGTAAGATCTTTAGTTATACTAAAGGCTTCGCTATTTCAATGTATAAATAAATATCTATTACTTTGAGAGACTTATAGTGAATTAATATTTTTGTATCGTATTAGGCTCAAGACGTACTTCGTTTTCAGATCCACTCTTTCAGGAATTTAAAACCCTTTTCGACGAGACCATGCGAGAAAAGGATTATTCTAAAGCCGATATGATTGCCGAAGTTGTAAGTGATCTTAGAAAGGAGAAGAAAATAAAGGTTATATCGAACAAAGCGGTGGAAAATTATTATAATCAAACAACGAAACCCGACGCCAGGACCATAGGAGCAATCAAAGCTTGGATCGAGCTCAAGACTAAAGGAAAGAATAAATCCAAAAATAAATCAGCATCTAGCAATAATAATAATATCGATGAAGTTAGTGATGAGGAAGAAATAGATTATAATAATAGTAATAATAAATAGTTTTTTCACCTGGTAGAGCCAAAGTATAGGGACGTATATTCATGGTCTAGGGGCTGTACGTTTCCTCCCTTGCAACTCTACCGTAGGAAATCAATATTATTTATTATTATTGCAAAGCAGGCCATAGGCGATTCTCCGAATCATGGGCTCAGCCCTTATCCATGTATCTTTATTTTATTTCGCTTGATTAAATCATTAAATAAAATGAATCATTCGAATTCTTATTTTTTAAACATAATATTTGTTTGTGTACGACCCATAAATTTTGGAATACTTGCATATGTAGTGCGACTATATAAATTATGCATGTTTATTTGTGCGATTAACCAAATTCGATTAATTAGCATTCATGTACATTAATTTTCTTTGTGAGAAAAATTTTTGGCGTAAAGATTGCATTCTTCCGCTTTATTTTATCTTTTTTTTAGATCCGAAAGAAGACATATAAAGAGATAGGCGAATACATTTAAAAAGGGCGGTATTTTGAATCTATTTATGTTAATTGCTTTTTATTCGAGATTTATCTTTTGCGCATTAACATTTTCAAACCCATATATTTTTATAAAACATTTTTATAATGTCGAACATAGTATCCCAAATCGAAAATCTTTTTTTAACTGGACATTTAGATGCAGTTTGTGGTGCGAACGTAGTTTATCTGGCAATGAATGGCAACAATTTGGGTAGATATGAAGACATCAGAACTTTAGCAGATCGTGCAGTAAATTCGGCCTTAATGAAAATAACCGATACGGAGCGAAGAACAAGAGTCTTGGAAGTTCTACCAGAGGTTAGTCTCATATTAATTAGAAACATTTTGTAAATATTATGATGGATACTACTACAGATGAGCTTCGTTCACATTGCTGGTCACTGCTGAAAGTTGGGGAGATACCGACCCGGAAGAGCGACATCTTTAGGGGGGCCTCGAGATGTCGAGGGTAATATTTTCCCTGGCTGTGCGTGGCTTTTTTGTCAAATGCTTGTAGCCTATGTAGTGTTGCGGGAGAAACTAGTTTCGCCCAATTTGATATACAAAAAATTAGGGTTTCGGACTCCTAGGAAGTTCACTGGGGCGAAACATTTCGGATTTTGAAAAATGGTTTCGCCCGCAACACTAAGCCTATGTAATTTCTGAAAAATGGTACCATATTATGTGCACATAATATATATTTCGCGCGAATCTAACAAATTTCGTCTGTTGCAGATGATGGTTGCTTACAAAAGCATTGTAGGTTTGAGAGTATTAAAAGCATTAAATACGGTAATATATTATATAATCGGTAAAAGTTCTTAAAAAAGTCAAAGCTCGATGTATTAATATTTTCTGATATAAATTAACAAATAGGATAGAGAAGACACTCCGGATAAAACGAGAGAAGAAATAGAAAAAAATTATAATGCATTAAAGTCAAGCCTTAGTGTAGGTATCCATAATTTATATTTTTGTTCTTGCTCAATTTGAAACTTTTAGATACTCACTTTTTCACCTTCCATATAGAGTCCCAAGACTGATTCTGATGTATCTCTTTATGACGCCCTCAAAAAAAATTTGGTGAAATACATTAATCCTTTTGATCTTTCATGGCAAGATCCAGAAGCTAATATGGTTTTAAGTGATGATTCGGTTTTAGTGGAAAAATTAGGAAAGAGACAAAAACGTGCTTTCATGGTAAATTTATCTGATTCACAAATATATCCGTGAAATGATACCTAGTATTCTTACTTTCTTATTTATTATTAGGAACCGTGTGAAAACATGAAATGTACATTACCCGAGTCGGTTGTTTCTAAGTGTGAGCAGTTTGTATGTGATTTTAATGAGGCGATTAATACAGATATACCTAGAAACATTGTACATGATAAGACTTGGAAAGAAAACGTATCTAAATTAGAGAAAAGAGCTGAGCGTATACTGAGTGTTCTGTAAGTAATTTTGTTTTCTTGGATGATTAACTAATGATTGGTTTCTTATTCTTCTTTTACTCATTTAGCGGGGAGGACTGGAATAATCCTGCATTCGAAGACAGTACAGCTCGTAAAGAGCAAAGTGAAGGGACCTATATTGTGGATGTGATAATGCCTTTACTTCGAGCTAGTTTAGAGGATATGCCAAACGGAAGAATTTGTTTGAGCACGTAAGCAAAATTTATATTTAGCTAAGAAATGACCTTATTATGAAGATCTTTAAAGTTGATGTTTATTACAGGGCAGAACGGCAGAGCTTGGCAAGCAAATTTCGAAGGAATCTTGGTGAGGTAAGTGGAAAACGGATTGGGAAAAAACCTGATGTCATGGTACTGATGAAGTATGGAGGAAAAATCAACGAACTTACATATGCAGAGTGCTCTCGAATCGTTTGTAATGATACAAAAAAAGCTAATGATGAAGTAAAGTTGTGGCGAGAAACATTGGATGGCATGAGTTTTGTTAATTTAGGATGCAGACCTTGCAATCAATTTGGTATAGTGGGGATTCAGGTTGCTGAAGCAGATGTGTATTTGAATGTTCTAGTAAACGATGCGGGTGGTCTATCTCGCTATTTTCATGTCGATCATGCAGAAATTCCCCTAACACCAAGATCACCACGACAATTAAAACCGCTTATACGATTGTTGTTAACCTTAAGGAATATTTTGATCGTGAATAAGAATTTATTAATGCAAGCATTAAATCATGCTAACTCGAATCCTCCCCGAAATGTCAAACTAAGCTCCACAATTTCTTCGCCATTGCACAATTAATTCTTTTAAAATTAGAAAATTTGTATTTTTGTATGTATTTTTTTATATCTATTTTCTTATATAAAGCAGTTGAAAAAAGGACAGAAAGAGATTCTATGCTGATATTACTATTTACTTGAATTCGAAAATACAAATAATAAAAATCACATCACTATTACATGTTGCTAATAAGAAATAATTATTTTTTTGGTTTTACGATAACATGAACTTGTTTTGTTGCATTGAGATATTCAGAAACTTCGGCTGTCGATTCCATAGGAATAATTGCGTAGAGATTGAAATGAATAGAAAGTTCTTGGTGACCTTGATTTACCAACAGACCTTCAATCGCTTTTTTAAGTGTGGTAACCTTATCTTCCTTACATATTTCAATATTAAAATATTTACCATCTGGAAAACAACACTTGAGACTAATAGGATTGGTCATTTTGCGTTTCCTAATATAAAGTTCTATAATAAGTAAAAATTCATTTACAATGGATAGAGCTCTTATTGCAAATAACACATAATGGACACCAGCAAACCAAACACGTTACCTTATAAAAATTGCGAAAAGATAAGAAATGATGCCTCACAAATCCAGTTTATTTATATTGTTCCATTCGCTAAATCTGAGAACCTGCTAGAAGAAAAAATAGATGATTAGTAATTACGTTATCCTGACATTTCTCGGATCTTTTCTTCGTAAGGCAGGTCTATTAGAATCACAAGAGCCAAGAACTGAATATATTTCGCCTTTTATGGGGAAATTAAACCTTCCAGTCTGGCGATCTCTCATTCAAAGTGTAAAATAAGAAATTTTGGCGATCTCGGATCTCAAGTTCCGTAACATATGAATTTTGATATTATTACTGATAAAGAACAATAAACTC